TACAAACCAACTACTTATAGTACAGCTAAGTACATACACAAAAAAAGTTACTGGAATGCTCGGAATAAGATTGTTTTTTGTTGTTGTTTTTGCTTTTTTTACAAGGTTTTTTTTCTCCTTTGAGATTATAATGAACATGGTCACACCACAAGTAAAGTCAGAGTCAGAAGTAGGACAGAGACCGCTCTGAAGGCTGGTTTGGTCATCTGAGATCATTAAAAATGGCTGACCCCTAACAATATGTACAAAAATATAAAATGTAAATAAAAAATACAAACAAATTTCCTTTTTAAAGTACTTTTAAGAAAAAAAGCAGGGCCTTGGAAGTTTTGGTTTTTTTCCTCCCCTGTTGCAAATTCTCATGGTTTTGGTTGGGTAGTGAAGAGCGCATGTCATCTGCGGGTGGCGCTGCCTGCGGTGGGCGGGCGGGCAGGCCTCTCTACTCGAAGGTGACCACGTTTAGATTCTGAGACGGGAAGTGGAGGGTGAATAGGTCACGGTGGCCTTTTTTTTTTTTTTTTAAGTTTAACTTTTCCTTTTTTGCTGTCTAGTCATCCTCCTCAGTCTTCTGCTTCTTGGTATCAACATCATCATCCTGGGCAGAAAAAGGGCAGTCAGGGAACCCGTCCAACCTCACAGGTCCCATCCAGCCAATGCCTCAGTGCCTGCTAACAGAGCAAACAGGCACTGACTGGTAGCTCCAAACCCTGCTGAGACCCCAGGCTTTTCCACCCATGGTTTAAGAGGAAGGACCCGCTCATGACAACACAAAAAGTTCCCAACTAGAATCATTCCCTCCTTCCCTCCAGCTTTAGGACCTCATGTAACTCCTGTTAGAGGTGGGAGACCTCAGATAACAGACTCCTTCCTCTCCCTTAAGCCAACCCTACCTCATCATCTTCAGCTGCCCGTTTGCCCGTGGTGGCCTCAGCTTCCTCATCTTCATCTCCATCCTCTTCTTCACCTGGAAAGAATCAAGGACCAGTAAACACTACACTGCCCTCTTAACTGTGTGTGTCTCCTTGGGGAATCTCCATTACAAATGTGGCAGAGTGGAAATGTCTCTGGACCTGCTGCTGCTACCTGACAGATACCTGGTACCCACACCTCCCATGCACTTGACACAAGGTCAGGGGGCCCAAGCAGCTACATCCTGAAAGGCCAGTCCAGCAGATTAGTAGTCAGTGACTTTCAAAAGATGCAGAGGACACTGTCCAAGGAGATGCGAACTACGTGCAACGTGTGCAAGTGGGTGTGTGGCACAGTTCCATGTCACTAGCCCAAAACAAGGAAGGCCCAGACCCCACAGGTACAAGTCCATTAGCCCCCAGGTATCCTGGTCCCTCCCCAAGGAGCCCCCATTCCTCCCCCTCTGTCCAGAGAGGCCACTCACCATCACCTTCTTCCTCCTCCTCCTCTTCCTCCCCACCTTCTTCCTCTTCTTCATCTACCTCATTGTCAGCCTCCTGCTCCCCATTTTCCTCATTCTCCTCGACAAAACACACATCAGCTGTTAATCAGCTGGCCCAGGGCTGGAGGACACAGCAAAGCCCCTGACCCCCACCCCTTACTCTTCCCTCCAGAGGCTGCCTAATGCTTTTAGAGCATCTGAGAGACTCCTGTCCCCCAAGATCCAATGGGACCACGACACAGGAACTGCCCTCCTTTCCCACCCTGCACTAAACCAAAAATTAGACCAGGACAGACTTCCTGGGATGGAAGCTGCCAGGGATCATGAGCAAGGCAGCCACTCACAGCGTTCCCATTAGCAGGGGCGTCTCTTCCATTCTCTGCCTCATCCACAACTTCCTTCTTCTCCTTTAAGTCCTTCAAAAGGGAAGAGGGAACAGTAAGTCTTCTGAGCAATCCAAGGCAGGCAAAGAACTAGAGCAGCTGAGTTGATGTACCCGTCCAAAGCTAAGACTCACATGTCACGTGTGGCAGGAGTAGAAGGGCACTGCAGAGGTATGGTAGTTTGCGTGGTCAGACTAGACTCCCTCCCATTTCCCACTGGGGGGCTCCTGCTACCCCCCCCCATTCTTCTTAGTTAGGAAAGCACCAGGTGGCATCACGGCCCCAAACCTGTCAGGCCGGGCGAACGAGCCACAGAACAGAACATTCGAGCCACAGAACAGAACATTCGAAACATTCACACACGCCTATCACAGACTGTTTCGAACCAGAGAGAGCTCCGCCCCCACAAGCCTCCTTGGAAGATAGGTATGCTCCAAAGTTAAGGTAAGAAGGTGTTTGTCGGCTCGGCGCCTGTGGCTCAAGCGGCTAAGGCGCCAGCCACATACACCTAAGGTGGCGGGTTCGAATCCCCAGCCCAGGCCCGCCAAACAACGATGGCTGCAACCAAAAAATGGCCAGGCGTTGTGGCGGGCGCCTGTAGTCCCAGCTACTTGGGAGGCTGAGGCAGGAGACTTGCTTGAGCCCAGGAGTTGGAGGTTGCTGTGAGCGAGATGCACTCTACCCAGGGGGACAGCTTGAGGCTCCGTCTCCAAAAAAAAAAAAAAAAAAAAAAGAAGGTGCTTGTCACAGTGGGAAGTGGGAGAACTACCATGGACTAGCCTGGAAAGGGAATAGAGGCCGGCTTGCCCACCAGAGCCCTCACAGTGTAGCTCAGCTCCAGGAGCCCGAGACCAGACTCTTGGCAAGGGCAGGTCACCCAAGAAACCCAAACCGCACGGGTCCCCCATATCCTGCTGTCCCAGAAGGGGCCAAGTGCCTCCTAACATCTGCCGACCCACGAAACTACTCAATGTGCCTTAGACTGCAGGGCAGATCCGGCCCGGAAGAGTCGCCTGCCAACACAAACTGGCGCCCAGCGACCTCGGTTCAGGGAGCGACTCTGCCAGTGCCTAGGGCATGGCCCTGGGCCACCTGTCGGCTGGTTCCCGCCGGCCGACCTGGACCGCGGGACCCGGCGCTGCCCGTTCCTGCCCCCTGGCGGCCGCGGCACCCGGGAGCGGGTGGGGGCGGGGAAACTGTGACGCGCAGGCGCGCAGCCCCCGCCCGGCGGGCTTTGCGCGCGGGCCTCGGAACTGCCCGTTCCTGCCCCCTGGCGGCCGCGGCACCCGGGAGCGGGTGGGGGCGGGGAAACTGCGACGCGCAGGCGCGCAGCCCCCGCCCGGCGGGCTTTGCGCGCGGGCCTCGGAACGCACCGCGCGCAAAGAGCACGTGGCCCAGGGAGCCGGGTGAGCCCCCTGGCCCTGGGGACTCCGGGCCCTTGGACAGCATTCACTTTACTAAGCGTGGGAATTGCGCAGTCCGCCGGCCTCTCGACGCCCCCTGCCGCCACCCTGGCAGGCGAGACGCATAGGCCTGCATCTCTGCATTTGGCGGGCAAAGTCCCGGAGGAGGCGTCCCCCCACAGTCCGTGAGGCTGTTTCAGTTCCGCGGCATAAAACCGTCGGGGACGTGCTCCTCCGGGCTATTATTAGTCGCCCCCGTGGGAAATCACCCTGAAAGAAAAGGAACACGGACGCAAATGCCAAACCAAACTGGTTCGCGGGCTGCGTCTAGAGGGCCGCCGAGAGCCCTTTGCAGAGAGACCCGGGTCTCGAGCTCTGTCCTCCAGGGGAGTAACCCCTGAGAGAGCCGGAGATGACGCCAGGGGCACAAGGGTAAAGGAGACGCCAAGGTGACACGCGCTGATCCCCATAGAGACCTAAAGAAGGAGGAACACGGCCAGAAAAAAAGGGGGAAAAAAACAGTTCGTCTGTGAGGTCCGCGCTCCCGCCGAGGACGGAGACGCTACCCAGCGAGAGCAGCGGGACCGACGCCATGCACAGAACAGGAGCGGAGCGGCGGAGGACCTCAGAACCGGGAGCAGTTAACTCTGTACAGGGCCCCGGGCACACCCCGAACTCGGCCCCGCCACCGGACAGCCGCAGTGTTGGCCCGCGCCGCCCCATAAGCTGTCGCGCACAGTGCGCCCGCGGGGACCTCCCATAGTCGCCCCGGCGCGCCGCGGCTTCACTTTCTCTCCTACTCCTCCAGCGCGTGGGCTCGCCGCCGTCGCAGCCAAGCCAGGCAGCGCCGGTGAATATCTGAGCTGGGTGATCGCTGCCAGCGTACTCCTCCGGAGGGCACCCAGGACGGAGAGAACCGTCACACCTCCGCGGACACAATCGTCTTCGCGACTAGCTGGCCGGCCATTCCATTCGCCTTATCAGAGCTTAGTCCAGATAAACGATCTTGGGCCCGCTGCGGGGCGCGAAACCCGGAGACCGGCACCGAACAAAGAGCGGGGCGGCCCGCAGGCGCAAGCCGCCACTTCCCGGAGCCGGCCCGCGCCCGCACACGCGCCCCCAACACTTCCGATTCTCAAACGCGCTCGAGTTTCAAAGTTATTGCTGTGCGCCCGACCAGCCAAAGACCTCCCAGACCGGCCCCTCTCCTCCTGCTGCCATACAAACCAGTCACAAACAACTTTCAGGGCTACCGACCAGCCTCCGCGCCCACCCCTAACCCCGAGGGCGCCCGATCCACTCCCCGACCCGCTTCACGTCTGTCTGCCCGCGGCGCTTCCCGCCCCCTCCTCCGCACAGACAAAGAGTGGGCTGCCGGGGCACTGCGCTGCCAGCGGGCGGGCTCCCCGAGGAATAGAGCAAGAGCGCGTTTAGGGCACACCACGGTTGCGCGCCAAACACCGCCTCGGTGGCGGCGCGCGAACCCCGAGGGGGCGGGCGGCGTCCAGCCTCACCTTGGTGGTGATCTCGGAGCTGGTGTCCACCGCTGCGTCTGACATGGTGGGGCACGTCGGTGATCCGATGCGGGGGATGAAGAGAAAGCGAGAGTTCGGGGACTCTGGCGATAAAGCTGCCGGAGTCCGCAGCGGCGGAGGAGCGCGGCGGAGGTGGTTGCGACGAGAGGAAACCGGACCCAGGAACAATGCAAAGATGGCTTTTCAGAGCCGCCAGTGGGGGACTCACGCGGCGCCAGAACCTTTAATATAGATTAGTGGGCGGTGCTTGTCCTCCCTTGTCGGAACGCTATTGGGCGAAGGCGGGGAGCGGGAGCTCGCTCATTGGTTCGATTGCGAACAATGGACAAGCGTGCTTAAAGCGGCAGTGCTTTGGCAAGTCGCGCGCTGCGCAGTCGCCGGCAGTTCTGTCATTCAAGGCCTCAGTTTGTCTGGTGGCCTCGGCGCGAAGGCTGCGGGGGAGGGGTGCGCGGGCACGCTGGAGTCGCGCGCTCCCGCCGCTGTTTTGCTGTGGCTGCTGACGCAGAAAGCCAGAGCGCGGCAAAGCTGCCCGCCCAGCACCTCCTTCCTCCCCCTCCCAGTGGCTAATCGGAAAGAGGAGGAGGGAAGAAGAGGCGTCAGGCGCGCACGACGGCTCTCGGCGAGGGGGAGGGTAAGGCGGGGTGCTAGGTCGCGCTCGCCCCGGGCAGTGCCCAGCTCAGAGCCCGCGGAGGTTCCCACCCCTGGTGCTTGGGCATCTTCCACCGGGAATTGTCCCAGTGCCAGTGGGCGGTAGCCCCACAATGAGTGATGAGGTAGTGAGACCAAGACCCGCGCACTTGGACCGCCCCGTCCACCTCTCACGGCCCCCCTAACCCCGGCGCCCCTAGTCTGGGGCCAACTGACCCCTGTCGCACACCACCGGTTCTGCCGTCCACTGGCCGAGCCAGCAGGCGAGCGGGCAGTGTGCCAAGCACACACCCTTGAGGATGCAGGCATCCATGGATTCGATGTGGGCTTGTGCCCTCGAACAGGATAGCCTGCGGGTCCCGCGCTGCTCAGAGGACGCCAGCTCTCTTAAGTCCCTGGTCAGCTTCTGCCCCCCGTGGTAACTGCCGTCACCACAGCCTCGGGGCAGCTTCCTTCCAGGATCCAGCTTGGCCCTCGAATCTAATTCTCACGCCTTTTCTGGACTAAGATGGGCACCTGAACATTACGGAGTTATACAGGGTAAAGAATCGTCCCTCAGGCCAATTGGACTAGTCCTTCGGGACTCCTTGAAATTTAGGCAGCCGTTTAGGGAATCATGTGGATCCCGAAGACGAGAACCAACAAGACTCCACACTCAAGATGGCGCTGGGCGCGGCAAGCGTGGCGTGACGTGGCGGTCCAACCCACACAGATTATCCGAAAACTATAGGCTACACCCTCCTTGTTGCCACTATACTTGGCTGTCGAACTAAGAAATCCGCCGTGTGGGAGGAGAGACCGAAATAGGTAGAAAGATACTTCAAAAAAACACCTGAGCCACACACAAGATGGCGACAGATAGCGTTCGTCTCTATGCTGCCAATAGGGGGCGCCCGACACGGAAGGCGGGACTCCGGAGAAACGAGTGCACACTGGCCCAGAGTGGCGGGCGAACACAAAGTTGACGCTTTGCGCCTTGCCATTGGCAGGCCCTGACGTCTGTCTCTTGGGGATACGGATCTGGGAATGGGGAAAACCCGGAGTCTGGGATCGTGGAGAGTGGACAGATGCCAAGTCCACCAGAGCTTGAAGTCGGGCGAGAAGAAAGACTTAGTCGCCCTTCTCTCTTTCCTTAGGTCATGAGCGATCTAGCTCTTTGCTGAGCTTAACACACCCTCACCCAGGGGGAAGAGGCGCGAGTGCCGGAGCGCCAGCGGATTTTGCGCCCCTCCCGCACCCTCTCTCACACGAATCAAGCCCACATCCCCGTTCACACGTGCCAGTGCTAGCCTGACCGCTGGCCTGTCGGGCTTTCCAGAGCGAGTTTTCCTTTGGCGAAGAAGCCCAGGCTTCCAGTTCTTTGGCCAGAAAATAACGTGGGGCAGGTGCTGGCCAAGCGGGGGCACCGCACCATCTCCCGCTGCCTATCGTTCTCCCTCCTGCCGCGGTATGGTGGTAGAGGGGACTCCTGCTGAGTCTCCGCCCAGCCCGAAAACAACCCCAAAAGGCTCGAAGTGAGATTCTTTTCTGGGTGAGCACGCGACCATCTTGGGGACTTTCACAGTGTCCCCAGAACCGAAGGTTCTAACTCTTTGTTCGGCCCCCTCCCTCCCACTACTAGCTACCTATACTCCGCCGCAGACCTGGGGTCGCCCTTCACAGAGGAGGAAGGGCGCCTTGGCCGCAGCCGGCGAGACCCCGCCTTTGTGTCACATTCCCAGAGCTGGAGGAATTATTCCTCACGTAACCAAGAGGGAGAGCGCCTCTTGCCCGAGCCTCATCAATTAAATTCTAGTTACCCTGGAGGGAATTATTCTGTCCACAAAACCCGGATGCAATAAAGGCTTGGCCTGCGCCTCATTTAAATGATCCAGTCTTCCTCCTAGTCTGGATAGTGGCCCTGGGCACTTGCCTCTGTATCCACAGCTGAAAACTGGGCTTGATTGTTCTGGAATCTGAGCTTTGTGGGGGAAGGGTGAAGCTTTTCCACCTGGAAAAGCTGGGTGAATGTGAATTTCCCTCTAAGAACTGCTTTGCCTGACCTTGTCCCCTTGTGGCTGGCTTTGGTATAAGTTGGTGAGGAAGGCTCATGCTCACCTGGTTCCACAACCACCGTTAAAACATCCCCAGGCAGAGCAATACCTGTGGCTCAAAAGGGTAGGGCGCTGGCCCCATATGCCTGAGGTGGCAGGTTCAAACCCAGCCCTGGCCCAAAAAAAAAAAAGCCCCAGGCACTCTGGATGCTTGCCTGATGTGTGCATAGGAGTGCAACTTTACCTTATGCTTCAAGCTTTTCATTTATTCTTAGAAGGTTGGAAGACAATTATGGGGTTGAACAATATAAAATTAATGTTTATGAAGGTAAGAAAAAAAGTGAAAACACAGTAAATCTCTAGTGTATTATCACCCTCCTTTTAACAAATCTAAAAAGCAGACCAAAGGATCATAGCAAATGACTTTGGAGTTACCAGGTGAGTGAGTGAAGGACCCCAGTCTAAATCCTAGAACAGAAGAATCTGCATTTTTGGATGAGCCCTGGAGCAGGAGCCTGGACCCAGTACTCCTGCCCTGTCCTAGCTCCAAAGTGGTAGAGGTACTTAAGCTCCAAAGAGCCTTGATCCTCCAGCAACCGGTAACCCCCTACCTCGTTTACTGTTTCAGAATGGTCTATTCTTCCTGTCCTCTCTCACTTCCAATCACTGGTGCATCTTGTACCTTCCCTCCTATTCAGGAGGTCAGGCACTTTGGTGGCTTGCCCTTCAGTCCCCCAAGACCAGCTGCTGTGCACCAGGAGGCGCATTTCCTGATCCTGATCTGTTCACAGCCCAAGTTGCACTGGACTTAGATTAGAACTGTTTTCAGCCAAGGACATCAGATGGTCTCCAGGCAAGTTTTGTTTGTAGGTAATTTTCCTAGGGACACCTCTGGGTTGCCTACACACTCTCCAGTTGGCCTTCCCTACCCACCCAAGTCACACATTTATTTCATCTGCCTGGCCTGTGGGCACTTAAGTTTGCAAGCTAAGCCTGCTCTTCACCCATTTCCACACCTCTCACTGGTGGTCTTACCAGTCTGCTTGGTGCCTAAAAGACCTGACAGAATGTATATGTGCTGCTTCAAGCTATGTAGGTTCAAATCCTAGCCCTGCCACCCACTAGCTGTGCAAATTGGATGAGTTAACTTCCTCACCCCTACAATATGGAAGGACAGTAATAGTCCTTATCTTGCAAGGTTATTCTAAGAACTGAATGACTTTATATTCAGAAAGTGCTTAAAATAGTGTCTGGTACGTCCAGAAAAACCATACGTGTTCTCAGGACTCCATTTTTTTTCTTTTGTTGAGGGTAAAAAGGACCCCATTTTGGTTGGTTTTACCACATTTGTAGGATTCTGGACAAAGGAACAATGTTTTCAGCAAATTCTTCCCATGTTCACTGGAAAATGAGAGAACTGGCCTTGCTGAGTTTCTGGAAACCTAGCCGCTGACATGCTTGGCAGCCCTTTTGGCCTCAAAGGAATGACAAAGACTGAGGCATACAAAGTGGAGCATGTTCTAAAAAATCCCACCTTCCTGCCCTCCAGAAACCCTGGAGTCTCGAGCTGTGAGTTCCTCACCCAGGCATCAGGTCCTTTCAACTCTCCCGCCTTGTGAGCCCGGTTGGGATTGTGTAAGAGCCCCCCACACTTGCTCCCTCTCACTGCATGCCTGGGCCTGCCCGTCCTCCCGGGGAGCTGTGCCAGAGGACCTGGCTCCTGGGACCCACACAGGTTTGGTCACCCAGGGAGGCCTCTGCCTGGCAGGGGGAGGGTGGGGCATGCCTCTTGATGTTCTCAAATTGATATCAAGGCCTGTGGAGACCAGGTGTAAGCTGAGGTAAGGAAACTGGGAGACATGAGTGTGCAGTGTACCCAAACACCACCACCCCCTGACCAGGAGAGGAGCCTCATGCCAATTTTTGACACCTTGTGTACCTGCCCACTTTGGTATCTCCAGAAACCCTCTGCCTGCCTGTGCTGTCCTGACCCTCTTCTCCACATCTATCATAGTGCACCTATCTGCATAGCCCAGATTCTGTGGGTGTTTTGCTTAAGCTCTGGGTATGATTTCTGAATGGGTGGGCTCAGCCTGAAACAGTGGCAGAGGAAAGTGCTGGTGGGAGGAGTACATGAGCACACACAAAACTAGGCAGACAGCCTGTGAGTGCCTACGAGAGCATTGTACCCAAGGAAAGGGAGGACACTGCTATGGGACTTCATGCCACATGCCTCTGCAGGGGAGAGCCCCAAGGAGACCTAGCTGAGGGTTTGTGTGCCCGTACTAAGAAGTCGCCCGTACTAAGCTTGAGGCTGAGGCAGGCTCTGCACCATCCTGGAGCTCTGTTAATCCCTGATGGGGTTTTCCACCTTCTTTTCACCCCTGGCAAAGACCTCCCCAGACTCCTGTTTGGGTAGAGGTGTCAGATATGAAAGGCACAGACATGGCCAGGTGTTGCTGCGGGCACCTATAGTCCCAGCTACTTGGGAGGCTGAGACAAGAGAATCACTTAAGCCCAAGAGTTGGAGGTTGCTGTGAGG